TAAAAAGCAGAGCACAAATTAATGCACTGCAGACTTAAAAAAAAAAAACACAGTCAATGAATCAAAGGGTTACTTCTTTGAAAGCTTGAAGAAAATTGACAAACCCTTATGCAACCTTATCAAAAAAGGAAAGACTCAAATCCATGTAATTAGCAATGAAAATGATGAAATCACAATGGACCCTGTAGAAATCCAGAAGATCATCTATATCTACTTTGGAAACTTGTATTCTCCATGGAAAATGAAGAAGAAATGGAAGGATTCCTAGATACATATGAATTACCAGAGCTGAATCAAGAAGATCTAAAAATCCCAAATAAACCAGTATCCATGAAATCGAAGATGTAACTAAAAACCAATCAATAAAGAAGAGCCCAAGTCCTGATGGATTCACTGCTGAATTCTATAAGAAAATTAAAGAAGACCTAACACCATTACTTCTTAACTCTAACGAAATTGAAAGGGAAGCTGTTATGGTTTGTGTCTGGGTATCCCCCCAAAGCCTCATGCGGTGATGGGGCAGGCTTTTAGAGTCTGACTGATATGGATGTGAAAGCAGCACCCACCCTGTGGTGGATAGTATGCATATGTAAGGGAGAGGAAGAGGCTGCTTGCGGCCATTCCTCCCTTGTGTGCTTGTTGCTTTTGCTGTGTTCTGCTGCCTTGAGCTGTACCCCTCTGCCATGTGCCACTCTGCCTTGTAACCTGCCAAGTATGGACTAAAACCTCCACAAACTGTAAGCAAAATAAACCTTTCCTTCCTTAATTTTGGGCATCAAGTATTTTGTCCCAGTAACAAGAGGAAAGTAACCAAGACAGAAGCAATACTCCCAAATTCATTCCTGGAAGCAAGCATTACCCTGATACCAAAACTGGAGGACCACACTAAGAAAGAGAATTATAAGCTAATATCCCCAGTAAACATTTATGTAAAAATCCTCATAATAAGATACTGCCAAATAAAATAAGATACTGGCAAATAAAAGTAAATCATCAAGGAGATTACACACACTGACCAAGTGGGATTCATCCCAAGGATGCAGGGATGGTTCAACACATGTAAATCAATAAATGTAATATTAACATATTAACAGAGCTGAAGTTAAAAATTATGTGATCATCTCAAAAGATGCAGAAAAAGCTTTTGACAAAGCCCAGCAGCCATTCATGATAAAAACCATACAGAAAATTGAAACAGACAGATTTTACCTCAATCTGATAAAAAGCCATCTATGACGATCCAACTGCCAACACCATACTAAATGGACAAAAACTGAAAGCTTTCTCTCTAAAATCAGGAAAAAGATAAGGATGTCCACTATCTCCACTCTTATTCAAAATAGTCCTACAAGCTTTAGCCAGAGCAATGTGACAGGAGAAAGACATAAAAGCAATAACCATAGGAAAGGAAGAAGTTAAATTATCAGTATTTGTAGATGACATGATACTCTACATAGAAGACCCCCAGGGGGCTGGGGATTTAGCTCAGCGGCAAAAGCGCCTGCCTGGCACGCGCAAGGTCGTGAGTTCGGTTCCCAGTACCAGAGAAAAACCAAAAAAAAAAAAGGAATTATACATAGAAGACCCCCAAAACTCCACTGCAATACTGCTAGATTTAATAAACAAATTCAGAGCATAGCTGGATACAAAGTCAACACTCAAAAATCAATAGGCTTCCTGTACATGGATAACAAACTCACTGAGAGATATTAACGAAACAACACCTTTCACAATAGCATCCAAAAAAAATGAAATACCTAGGAATCAATCTAACAAAGCATGTAAAAGACCACTACAATAAAAAGTACAGTATTCTGAAAATGGAGACTGAAATAGATATTAGAAAATGGAAAGATATCCTTTGCCCTTGGGTAGGAAGAACCAATATAGTGAAAATGGCCATACTTCCAAAACTGTTATACAGATTTCATGCAATTCCAATTAACAGCACATCTATTATTAGTATTAATAGAGAAAGAATTAGAGAAAATAAACCTAAAATTAATTTCTAACCAGAAGAGACCTAGAATAGCAAAGGCAATTCTGGGCAACAGAGGCAAGGCAGGGGACATCACAATCCCTGAAATTATGTAATAAAACTACAGTGATAAAAACAACGTGGTACAGGCAAAAAAATAAAACAAAGCAAAAGACCTGAAGGTCAATGGAACAGATTAGAAGAGGCAGAAACAGCTCCAGACATACTCACCCACCTTATCTTTGACAAAGGTGCCAAATACATTCACTAGAAGAAAGATAGCCTCTTTAATAAACAGTGCTGGAAAAACTGCCTGTCCACATTTAAAGACTAAAACTAGACCCAAGTCTATCATCATGCACTAAAGTCAAAATGGATCAAAGATCTAAATATTAAAACAGAAACACTAAATCTGCTGGAAGATAGAATAGGTAAAACTCTTGGAGACACTGGTGTAGACAAAGACTTTATGAATAAAAAAATCCTAGTTACACAAGAACTATCACAAAGAATCAACAACTGGGATCTCATTTTATTAAAAAGCTTTTGCATACCAAAAGAAATCACCAACAGAGTGAAAAGATAACCCATAATGTGGGAAAAAATGTTTGCCACCTGTTCCTCAGGCAAAGGCTTAATACCAAGAACATATAAACTTAAAAATATCAGACCTCCCAAATTTAAAGACCCAATCCAAAAGGGGGCATCTGAGATGAATAAAAAATTTTCAGATGAAGAAATATAAACAGCAAATAAATATGGGAAAAATGTTCAACATCACTGGTCATTCAAGAGATACAAAATAAAACAACACTGAGATTCCATCTCACCCCAGAAAGAATGGCTATGATTAAGAAATCAACCCGTAACAGATACTGGAGGGGCTGTGGGGAAAAAGGAACCCTTTTCCACTGTTGGTGTGAGTGCAGACTGGAGCAACCACTGTGGAAATCAGTGTGGAGATTCCTCACAAAACTAGGACTAGAAGTCACATTTGACCCAGCTATTCCCCTTCTGGGTATCATCCCAGAAGAACTGAAAACATCATACCATAGCAATATATGTGCACCCATGTTTATAGCGGCACAATTTGTAATAGCTAGATCTTGGAAGCCACCCAAAGCCCATCAACCAAGGAATGGATAAAAAAAGGTGTGGTCTTTTTATACAATGGATAAAGAAGGATAATTGGAGACTTTTATAGGTAAACGGATGCAACTCAAGATCATACAAATAAGTGAACTAAACCAGACACATGTGTAAACATCATATTGTCTCCCTAGTATGAGAAGCTGAAAGAGTAAATAAGATCCAAAATATACAATAGATATTGTAAAATGGGAGGAAACTTCAAAAGGAAAGAGAAACTGGGATGGGGGAATGAACAAGGAAGGAAAGGAAAAGAAAAAAGAAAAAAAATATATATATACAAATAAAAGTTAAGACAGTTATACTACTAATTTCTTTTAGTTCATTGAAAAGAAAGGTTTGTGTGCTAATATTCTTTGGACTCTGAGTAACTAATTTACACTGATATCTTGTACTCTGGGTAACTAATCTAAAGATAACAATATGCAATGTATTAACCATTGCTACCCTATTATCTTGGTTTGAAATTTTGTTTTTTTCTCTTAAAAAAAAAAACTGAAGAAAAAACCAACTAAACCTTAATGACTGAGAGGATATCAGTGGTGACCTCACATCTGACCTAAAGGAACAAGGCAAGGAATCTTCTGTACATGTACATATCTTTATTTAGTAATGTCATCTGTATTCTTGATAAAGTTCATTTAAAAATCTTTCTAAGCATACTCCTTGAAATGGGACATACATGATTAAAGGAAGACAGCTGATGACAGAGACTGAGTTATAAATATTTATAAGACATTATAAAGAACTCACATTAAAATGAGGGTTGCGTTTATCACACCTTTGGTGCTATGAAGACAAAGCACCGTGGGAAATAAGACTGGATTAAGTCCTTAAAATATTTATTCTCGGCTGGGGGCATAATTCAGTCTAGCATGCATGAGGCCCCAGGTTCGATCCCAGCATCACGTAAAATAAAAAAGTCTCACAGAAGGATCAAAGAGTGATTGCACTAAAATTTAAATGATTTAAGTGATTATGATATAATAAAACCTCTCTCAAAAGAGAAGCTGCTTAAGCTGAGTAGTTAATACATTTCCTTCTTAATTATCAAGGGAGACAAAGCAGCACCAGAATTTAACCTGACTCAGCTTTGGAGTTTTCTGGAGCATTTGTTTTGAAGTTTAGTTGAAGCACACTTTCAGGCTTCAGTTGCCTAACTTCATTGCCAATCAAAGCAGTCACTCCTCTTCCTGAAACAAACGTGCACACTGTTGCATATGAACCCCTAGTGCTTAGAGCGCTCCCACATCCACAACAGGCAGACTCAGAAATCTGTGGCCGGAACACTTACCTACTTCTTGATCTGAGTCATATTGTATATAGCCTTAATTCAATCTTAAACTTAGGTATATTAGTCCCAAGAGTTCGAGGCTGGAAAACTTGGTTTCCCCAAATTAAAAAATATTAACTTTAATTATTAAATTTAATATTTAATTATTAAAATAATTAAAACAGTTTTCTGTTTTAATTATACCTTTGTACATATTTTCAATAGTATCATGTAACAATGAAGCAGATTCTGTTACTTTCAGTTAGCACTCTTGAGTTCTACTATGGGTTCCAATTTGCTACTTACAGAAAAGAATAACTTGCAAAATATGCCAGTAGCATATTACATTATTTATTTTTCTTTAAATTTCTTAATAACTCAGATATAATATCTGCATTAAACATGAGTAAATGAAGCTCTGAAGGGTCACACACCTTGCCTGAACTACCAGCGAGCTATGATTCAAAACCAGATTATTTAAACTCTAAATACACACACTCAGGTATCACGTGGGATGCCTGAAAAGGAGAACTCAATCTCTTTGAGAGGCACTACAAAAACTCAAGAGTGACAGTGTAATTTTTTTAAACCTCTACTTACCTTCAGGGGACGCAGAGCTCCACAAAATTTTGTCCACCAGCTGTTTTCAATGAATTCTAAGTGCCTCTCTCTTTTCTTAAGTGTCCGTAACCTTTCTTCAAATTCCTTTAAGGCACGCTTATCCCTTGCTGACAAAGGTCTACCATCTTTGCTCTGCAAGTAACCGAACAAATTAAAGGATGTTTTGTTTTCTTTTGTTTTGTACTTCACAAGTAAGGTCTTAATTAAGTACCCACAGATTAAGAGCTCAAACAAATTTTTTTTTAGCTTAGGCACTCCTTCAGCAATTTTTTTTTTTGTCTTTTTGAGACAGGGTTTTGCTATGCAGTTCAGGCTGGCCTTGAGCACACTTTGTAGCCCCAGCTGGCCTCGAACTCGGAATGATCCTCCTGCCTCAGCCTTCCGAGTGCTGGGATTACAAGCATGTGGCACCATACCCAGCTCCTTCAGCAAATTTTTTTTTTTTTTTTTTAACATGGAATTGAGCTCAGGACATACATGATTAAAAGAAGACAGCTGATAACAGAGATTGAGTTATAAATATTTATAAGACATTATAAAGAACTCATATTAAAATGAGGGTTGCGTTTGTCACAACTTTGGTGCTATGAAGACAAAGTACCATGGGAAATAGGACTGGGTTAAGTCCTTAAAATATTTATTCTTGGCTGGAGGTATTTTTTAGGGACTTTTATAAAGCAAAACCACAAGGTGAGGTGGGTCCAAAGTAGGGGAAAATGGACAAAACTATGGTCAGCCAATAAGAATTGTTCAGGTAAAATTGATTAAATTGGGATCAAATGGGGAAGCGAATCACTTGCGCTTGCCAGGTAGGCACTGTGCCACTGAGCTACAGCCCCAGCCCCTTCTTCAGCAAACTTAAAACCTGAAAAAGATGGCAATTGCAATGTGACAATAAATTTACTAAACCAATGTCAGCATGAAAATGCAGATGTGTATACATTTAATAATTCTTCCATGTTTTCCAAAAAATATGCTTAAAATTATGTGGAGATAATTATTTGTAAAAAAACACCTGTAACAGGTATTTGTTTATAAGAAGTGTTAGCCTTACGCACTTTTAATTACTTCCGCTCACCTCCAGCTCCTTCTTTACCCCTTACTTAAGTGGCCCTGCCCCTCCCCACCGTTCAGTTATGTGGCTGCATCCTCTGGACTCAGGCCTCTCACCCAAGTTAAACACCAGCAGCAGGCTGCAACACAGGCATAATAAGGGACCTTCTAAACACACAGAAGATGAAATGCACATTTGTTTGCTTTTATTGGAAAGATCAAGAAAAAATACTTCTGTGTGACACTGAAACATGCAAAGACACTGGAAAAGGGAACGTCTGCAATATTCCTATTCAGGTTCTTAGCACATGTACAAAATACTGCTCCCTAGCGTACTTACTACAGCCTCAATTTAAATCACACAATGAAGATTTTACCCAAAACCTTTTAATAAGGAGACACTTGGAAGTATAAAAATCTCTACATATTTGCATTAGCAGACTCTTCTGAAAGCAACTCTCCTCTTCCGTATCTTTTCCAACTTTCATCCTTCCTAAGAATCACCTGAAAAGCTTGTTAGGCAGGGCTTCCCAGGCCCTACCTCCAAAGACTTCTTTAAGTCTTAAGTGGGCCTAGAATTCACATTTCTCTCCAACTCCCCAGAGATGCCAATGCACTTGGTCCAGAGACTACACTTCGGTTTGAATTTAGAACCCAGTATCATACATGAGATCTTGCATGAATTTCAGTTTTTATATTTTATCGACTGTACTGAATTTACCCCTAAACTTGTGAGCACTCATCTGTGGACTCCTGAGTCTTCTCAACTAGGAACTGATGAATTTCTTCCTTTACTTGAGTCTTCTACATGTACTTCTGTAAATCTTCACTTCCATCTTCACATTATTATTTTTACAGCTGGTGCTACTGTTAAAGGCAGCTGAGTTAGATAGAAATATTATAGGCAGTCAGACAGGGCCAGGCCCTCAAGGAGCCAACATGAAAGATACGGATTTGCTGTGGGCCAGACCTCAATACAAAGGACTAAACAAATGCACCCACATACCTCCCTAGGGATGGACATCAGGGATTGATATTCTAAACAGGTAGTGATCACCTTGAAGAGTCACTGATCCAACCCCTACAGGAAAAGCCCCTGTTCTGCATTTATGCCCCCTTGCTATGTGACTCACTTCCCCATCTGATCCCAATTTAATTAATTTCACCTCAACAATTCTTATTGGCTGACCATAGTTTTGAACATTTTCCCCTACCTTGCACCCACCTCACCTTGTGGCTTTGCTCTATAAAAGTCCCTAGAAAAGACAGAGTCTTGGGTAACCCACTCGGGTCCCCCTTTTGTCCCTTTCTTGGACAGAAGCTTTCTTTCCCTCAATAAATATATTCTGCTCTTGACCTCCGTCATTCCTAACATTCATTCTTCGATTTTAGAGAACATGAACGTCCCAGATATCGTTCAGGTTAGGAGTTTTTATTTTTCTGTATCACTACTGCGAACGGAGTAATTCTTTAGGCATCCTCTAAATTGTTAATGATTTTTATATTGGTATCTAGGCACCTCAGTAGTTTTTCTAGTTTGTCAATTAATTCTCTTAATTGTCTTGGAAGAGAAAAAGATATCTGTAAACAACAAAATTAGCTTCCTTTTCTTCCCTCCTCCATGTTTTTATCTCAATTCCTTCTCATGTGAACGAGAGCCCCAGAATATGCTGAAGGGCAGCAAGGACACTGACGTCATCCTGTGTATGACTTTAATGGGAGTATTTCTTTCAGTTTTAAAATATGATGCTCATTAGAGGCTGCTTGGTTCAGTCTTTTCTTCTCTTTTAATTTGCCAAGATTTCTTTTTCCGTTCTTTTTTTTAAAATCATAACTACAAATTGACTTTTACCAAATACCCTTCGGGATCTATCAGGATGTTTGTATTTTCATTTAATCTCAATATGTTAAACTACTTTAATGTACTTGCTAATGTATCATCTTTGCATTTCTTTTTCTTTTTTTTTTGTACCGGCAATCAAACTCAGGACCTTGTGCTTGCCAGGCAGGCACTTGTGCCGCTGAGCTATATCCCCAGCCCTCATCTTTCATTTCTGAGATAAAACTAGACTACTATAAAATATTCTTTTATTACAGTATAAGTTTTGAATTGCTAATATTTTTGTTTATATTAAAATATTTGCCTCCACTCTCATATCAAAGGTAGTAGATAGTTTTCCTTTTTATGTGCTATTACTGATTTTTTTAGCAGGCCTGTGCTAGTTTAGGAAAATAGTTTAGCGTGTTTGTTTTTCTTCTATGTTCTTTAAATAAGATTTGTACGTTATTTGAAATCATAAAGGGAGAAAAACATTTGAGAGCTAACTTTAATTGGCAAGTCACTGACTGTAACCTATACCTTGTTCAACTCGTCCCCAAAGTATGAAACACATTATGCAGTGAAACATGGTGTTACATCCAGAACAGCTAGGATAACTGAGGTCTCATAAACAGGCAGAAGCTTCATTTTTAATTGTTAGAACATTGATAGAAATTCTCAAACTGCCAATGTCCTACATTACACAGGTAGTTTTTAAAAAATAGGAATAAAGTTCTTGAAAGATACATTACACGAAAATTAAAACAATGTAAAAAATTATGGGTTTGCCAATGTCAAAATCACATCAGAGAGTAACTCAGATAATTTTCTGTTCGTCATTACAAGGGAACACGAACTCACCTTGGATTTAATCGCTTGGATGTTTTGTTCCACTTCTTCAATGTCTTCAGTGTTTTCCAAACGTTCGTATGCAGCGCTTCGAGTGCCTTTTATCAGATTTAAAGGTAACGCAGACATACCATAGGCCTAAAAAATGAAACACTTTCATGAAGCTAAAAACCTTCTTAGGGTAGTAACCTGAAAATGGGTAGCTGGAAAGAGCAGAGTCACTGAAGAACACAGTATGCGGGAGTGAATCACAATTGTAGTTTCGTAATTCTCTCATTTCCACTTACATTTTTGTTTATAACACTATTCCAGGGTGGATGAGCTATAAATTTAATGTAAATAATACTGTATCAAAGTAAGGTGCTATAACTTCAGGCTAATTAAGTTAGGATAGTGAAAAAATAAAAGCAAATTACAAAATTATTTTCTATTAAAAGAAGTATAATTTTCTTCAAATGTCCAGAGTAAATTTTAGAAAACACAAGTGCGTCAATACATACATGGTATTTGTTGAATCTATCCATTACCTATATATGCAATTTATTTAAAAGTTCTATATACTTATAACCAATCTTTTTGCTAAGTATTTGAAATATTTTCCAAACTGTAGTTTTAACTATTAGCACTAAGAATAAATTATTATATGTACTACATAACCTCTCATAGTCACCATCAATGTAACATTCAACAGCATTTGCCATGTGGCCAGTACTTGGAATAATTATTGACTGTTTTTGTTTTTATTGAGACAGGGTCTCTATGTAGTTCAAGCTGACCTTACACTCATTATGTAGCTGAGCTTGCACTTGCAGCAAACCTCCTGCCTCAGCCTCCTGAGTGCTGGGATTCCAGGTGTACACCACCATTCCAGGCTATGATTGATTTTTACACAGAACATTGATAACTATCATCTCCTGGTCACATCACACTCAGAAGCAATACAAAACTATAATTTTAAATCTTTTGTCATTTTTCTTCTGAGCTTACAACCAAACTATTGTGCCCAGTCTCCCCTGTGGATGGATAGGGCCATGAGACTAAGTTTTGGACAACAAATATGGTCAGAAGTAAAAAATGCCACTTCTTAGACTTCATCTCATTCTGTGCTGGATGGAATCCTGTAATGCACTAACTGCTTACAAGATTTTTCAATCTTCTAATTAGTATCCTTTAAGATGCTTCTGGACTAAGAAGGGTATTTTTCAAAGTTTACTCATCGGAGTTCAAGGATTCTTGGAAGGTGGCTGTAGGACCATTACAGAAGGCAGTTAGCCATACAAAGACCTGTTGCTACTTTAACTAGAGCAATTCTATTCATTCACCTCTCTATATATTTCTGATATGCATATATATGAGAATATACAAATAAGTATATCAAAACTTCAGGATAGTTTTACATGTTGTTCCATCATTTTATTCAGTGAAGCAGAATTGTTTATAAGTCCCATGAAGAGACTCAAATGGATGTAATCCTGTGTACTCACCAGCTTGTTAACCTTATCTTATGCCTCACACTTGTTCACAGTTCTTCAAAAGTCTCTCATTTTGCACGCCTTCTGCCTCTGTCAATATCACACCTTAATACATGAGGTGCTTGTATAGAACACCTGCCTTCTTTTCCTACTTCATTGGCAAATTTCAGTGCCACCCAGGTCTTGGCTGAATTACACCACATCTGAAAAGTTTTCCCTGACTTGTACACGTGTCTTGCTTATGTTGCATAACAATGTATGTTTAACACTATTGGTCTGCACACTTGTTTTATTACTCACTCTGCCAAATTTGCCTGATCAGATTTCCCAGCTAGGCTACGACACTGTAGGAGACTGCATGGTATGCTGGGACTAACTTTCTTTCCTCCTGCCTTTACAGTATTCCACAAACAAATGTTTACTAAAATAATTTTTCTAAAATGGTAATATTTGGCCAAGAATCTTTTTAAGAAGAGTGAGTTCTTAACTGACATGAAATTATTTCTTTATATTAAATTGATTTAATAGAAGAGCTGAACCAAATTCCTAAATAGCTTAATGTAAAGGATTTCAGAAAATAAAATTATGTCATTGGTAACAACTTTTGCTAACATGAGACCAGAATACAACACTTTTTTCTAAGTTCTTAAATGTCTAAAGACAGCAAATAGAAAAAAATAACCTCTCTGGTTGCCAGGCTCTTAGCTTGTATTTTAGATTGCATGTTTAAGTTTCAAGGATTATCAGAAAATTCAACTATAATATTTAAATTTTTACTCAGCTTGAAATAAACTTTTACAAAGCATTAAGGTCTTTAAGTAATAATCTTTTGCATTTAACTTCAGACTTCTTTGGGAAAAAATGTTCAAAAACACCTTTTCAGGAATTAAAATTTTATTGCTTACTACTGCCCTCTAGTGAATTTCAAGAAAATCAATAAGGCTAAACAGATTGCATAGTAGTTTAAAATGCTCCAAGGATGACTACCATTGCCTCCAATTTTATTTAACTTCGACTAATAAATCATCAACTGAACATTTTAAAATAACGTAGCTGAACTAAAAATCTTTTCTTCTACCTTCTTGCACTGTTCAGGTTAGAATGGCCCCTTTTATCTATGTAGTTCTGCTTTATCTACAATGAGTTTCTAATTATAAAATGGGATTAGAGCAAAGGGTCCACAGCAAGCACTATCGGTAGACATAACATAAACATCTACCACATATTTGTAAAATCTGTTAAGGTTGTACCTGCTGTTACAGCTAATAAGCAATTCATTCAGTAAGCACACAAGTGTTCAGTTCTAAGAAAAATATACATTCATACATATGTTCTCACACTTTATACAGGTGAAATTTAGATGCATCTTGACATTGAAGTATCTTATAATCACTGGCTAGGCAGAAGATATGACATAGTTATAACTATCTGCATATTCACAAATTTGGTCACACTTGGTTACATTACATAGTCACTTTCAGTCAAATTACATGCATTCTGGGTATAAATACCGATTTTAACTGCCATGTATGTCTTGTAAAATAATATTACGATTTGACATTGAAATAAAAAGTTAATGTGTGAAGAGGAAGAAGGCGAAGAAGCATAAACAGGCAACTACGCACTGACACAGGTGCATAATTCAGCACTGACACAGGTGCATAATTCAGTATTTCTCCGCAGAGCGACAGTCAAGTGCTTTACAGACTTGAGAAAAGGCAATACATGAAGGAAGCTATTCTGCATTTTTTCTACTTAGGTGTATGCAAAGGGATTGGCTTCCAACATTGCAAGACATGAAGCAAGAACAAAACAAATTAGATTTACGCATAGGTGTCTACAGCTTCGGAGTAAATCCCAGAAACAAGAGAACATTCAAGAAAAGCCATATCATCAGTACAATAAAACATGGATATTGAGACCAAATCCAAAAATGAGTCAGAGGTCTCACACTACAACTGTAAAGTTTCCGAAATGTTTTTCCAATTTATTCACTCATAGCTTGTTACATATGCAGAAGAGTGATATGACTTTTTAAAAAGTATATAAGACCTAGAGATTTCTCCCACTAAATATAAAGCATGAATTACAAACGGTAAGAAAGCATGGTCAAGGTCTTTCCCCATCATGGCACATAAAATAGCAGGGCATCTTACTACCTACCAGTGGCACAGACTCCAAGAAATATACTGTCACATGGAAGGTGAGAAATTTCACTTTTAAGGAGGACTTCCGTCTCCAGATATTGAGGACTTCTGCACTAGTTCATCAGACCCTATGTTTGTTTGTTTTTTTTTTGTTTGTTTGTTTTTCTCCGGTACCGGGAACCAAACTCATGACCTTGCGCTTGCCAGGCAGGCGCTTTGCCACTGAGCTAAATCCCCAGCCCCCTCATTAGACACTATGGACTGAATGTTTGTTTCCTCCACCCCTAATTCATGCTGAAACTATCCCCAGTATGATGGTGTTTGGAAGTGGAACCTTCTGGAGGAATGGTAGGTCCCTTGTAAGATCTGTGACAGAGATACAACCTTGCTTTCTGCCTTAGCCCTCTAAATATGTGAGGAAAAATAAGAGCAGACACCGACAGCAAGCCAGAAAGTGGGGTCTCAACAGATGCCCAATTTGCCGGCACCTGGAGGGTAGACTTCCCAGCTGTCAGAAGTAAATGCTTGTCCTTTAAACTAGCCAGTCTATGATGTCTTTCTTACTAACACAAACTTTCAATAGGCACAAAAAGAAAACACTGAACGTTTTCACAAACCTTTAATAGGCACAAAAAGCAAACATTAAATGTTTTATTTCTGTATTTGAACCTTTAAATTATCATTTTAATTTTCTTTAATCTACTAGCTTTCATCTTCCATTAACTGTACATATTATGACAATAGTGTTTTTCTTGGAGGCCACATTTGAAGTTTTATTGATATGGTTCTACTCTAAAAAGTGTAACTGTCTCTATTTCAGTATCCTAAATAATGCATTTTGCATAAAAATATCATTATTCAACATTTTCCCACTTGGTGGCACCAAAAAAATTAAAATTTCTACAGAGACATTTGTGCCTGGAGGTTTTACTTTTTAAAAAAGTATTAGTTTCCTTTTAATTTAAGCTTAAAGAATAGGCAAACTCATATAGTATTTGACATTCTTCTACAAATGAGCACCTAATTATCAGGCTGTTTCTAATGACCTGATACTTTGGTCAAAATCTTAGTTAGATTTAAATAGTCCAGTAGTCTCTAACCTAACAAAAATACATTATCTACGATATTCACATCTGACTGACATATAAAGTAAAATATCTCTAGCCTCATACAAAAAATTTAGTTCCAAATTATGTAACAGACATGATTTTACATTTAACTAGTTATTTGCACTTGGGGTCAAATTACTCTATTAGTTTCTCATTTTGGTTCTTATATCAAGGTTAGGTCTCTTTGTGAAAATGTATATGTTGGTTTTGGGGGTTATTGTGCAAGGAGGAACAATATAATACAGGACACATACTTTATATGATTATTTATAAGAATCACCCAAAGAACAATATACAGAAGAGTGCAGGAAATCTGTCCACACACCAAGACCAAGGAATCCAGCCGAGAGCCTGGATCCCACAAAAATGTCCTGCATGCGTCTAGGTGAAGACCTACAGCTCATAACAAT